ATAAAGTATCTTTTATTCTGTTTAAGATCTTATAAAATCTCATTGAAATTAATTAGATATTCTCCATACTATATTATGTATGCTTCACGATAAGACAAGATAAAATGCTGAACAACCCAGATCCCCCTCCGTTCAAAATTGTCAATTTCTGATGCATTTGAATTAAGCACGATACCTTTATGTAAATTTAATACACTCATGCAATCAGGGCTAGTATTTTGAACATACATTAACGGTAACTGTCAGAACATGATTATAATTATTAAGAGTATATTAATTTTGTCCAACTGTCGCCTGATGAGATACATAGTTTAAGGTAAAACTTCGTGATACCATATGGCCTAGGTGTTGATTGACTTTTATTTTTATGACCTAAGATATGGTAATGAAATAGCACCCGTAACTTGTTGAATATATCTGCTAAGTGAACATCACGTCATGAATCTGTCCATTTTTGCGTGAAGGTGACACACAAAGTCAGGTGACGTATCAAACCGTTTCTTTTGTAATTTAGATTAATTAACATATAACAGTCAAAATAGTCTGTTTTAATCAATCACTTTTCATAAATAATCTGATTACAGTAATAATGATGCCGATCTGATAAATCAATAAACTGTTAATGCCCCCAGTTCATCAAATCTCGTATCTAATCAGTCGATATCGCAAAATCACGACCGATCTTGCACATGTGCATTGTTTCCCTGAACTAGAGTATTGTTTTTTGCTTGATTAGCCTGTCAGTTTTTACAGTTTATTTAAAATATGCAAAAACTGGAATAATTTGTAGATCAGGACATAACCTTGAAGTAGATCATTATAACTCTAAAGAAAACCAATTAGGTTACCTAATATTGTTGACCTTTGTCTGATAGTAAGAGTAGTTAATGAATATTTGATTATAGAAAAATTCACAAGGGTACTTTTAAAAGCTTTAGTGCACTAACTTACTGTCCAAGCTGCACTGGTGAAATTGATATACAAAAGAAAGGGATAATAAGTTCTATGTAGGAAAATTATAGAAAAGTTTGTCAAAATATGGAAAATCAATGAAATTAGCATTTGGAGATCAAAGGAAACACCAAAATCACTTAAATAGGTGATAACTGCAGAATTTATCAAATCACTGAAATAGGTGATAATGAAATCACTTGTTTAAATACATGTAGTACCCCTGACTGATCTAATTACCCAAGTATCCAGGGTTGGCAAAAACCGAGGTTTTATGAGTATTGCCCAGCCCAGTGGGAAATACTGGGAAAACCTGGGTTTTACTGGGTTTTACCGGGTAATACTGGGCAATACTGGGTAATATGATATACTGACATGAATTTTAAAGAAGATTTAGTGATCAATCACAAATGCAATACATTAAAGATATTTATAAAAATAAGACATAGTATTTTGATTTATGAATAAATTTACTTGTTTGAGAGTCTTATAATACAAGCTTAAGTGTATAAATCTGAGAAAGTATTGTTCTAGCAATTCTGAGACACGTGTACATGAAGACACATTAGATAAATAAAAACAGCTTTTCTCAATAATAATCCTAAAAATCTATTACTAGTAAATCACCATTCTGTCTAGATTGGTCAAACTGTTAACATAAAGCCTAAGAATTTGCTTTTTTTCAAATATATATAAATAATATTAAGAATTAACAATTATATGTAAAGAAAAATACTTTTAAATAAATTTCTGTTCATTTCTAAAAATTGTTACAAAGTTTTAGCATATGTATATGTACATCATTAATTAATAAGTAATTATTCAGATTAGAACACAGAAATGATTATATAACAATAATCAGCCTTTTCATTTCTATAAGTGGTAATGACATGCCCATTAGGGTGTTTATTTAGTAATATGATTGTATAACAATTGAAATTTACAATTCAGTTAAACACTGCAATAAAATGCACTTTTTTAAAGTTTTGAATACTGAAACAAAGCTTGGAAATTAACAAGGTATCCTAAAATGTGCAAATCTTTTATTCATAGAATTAGTGGAAAAAAGGATGAAATTGAATTTTCAATCATCTAGAAATGACTCTCAATGGTTATCTGTATAAAATGTATTTATTTAGCTATAATACTATGAAACTACAACAAGTCTTTACTATTTTGTGGGTGACTGGGGAATAGAAGTATGGTCACCATTGGTCTTCCTCCGACCGGCAGTAAAACCCTTGCTAAAGTGGGGTGTCCGTTTGGCTGTGCGGGATGTACAAATTTGCAGCCACGTCCAGTCAGAATGGGGACGTTAAATCCGATGCCTCGTGTAAAGAGAGTGCCACGCTCTTTGCACGTTAAGAACCCTTGCAACAACTCTTTGAGGGGTCCGTAGGTGACCTGTTGCAAGGCTAAATTTCCGTCCCCATCCAATATACCCTCATTTTCCATGGCAATCTAAATTTCTCCGACCTTGATCCCGGACGCCCCTATTACAGAACCTACCTTTTGTGTTTATTGTTAATTTATTCTCGTCCTGAATATGCATGAAATTTTTGCCACTGGACGTTAAACAACCAACCAACAATCATGTAAAAATGAGCATAAAAAATCATATTGCCTAGTATTACCCGTTTCTGGGGGTATTGCCCAGCCCGGGAAAACCCTGACCCAGGTTTTCCCGCCCAGGTAATACTTTGCCAACCCTGCAAGAAGCAGATATTGTCTACTTTGAAACTATTTTGTCCATTTTTATACGACCGCAAAAATTAAAAATTTTTTAGTCGTATATTGGTATGACGTTGGCGTCGTCGTCGTCGTCTGGCGTCGTCCGAAGACACATTGGTTTTCGCACTCTAACTTTAGTTTAAGTGAATGGATCTCCATGAAATTTTACCATAAGGTTCAATACCACGAAAGGAAGGTTGGGATTGATTTTGGGGGTTATGGTACCAACAGTTAAGGAATTGGGGGCCAAAAAGGGGCCAAAAATAAGCATTTTTGTAACTTCCAGACAATAACTTGTGTGTAAGTGTATGGATCTCTCTGACATTGTACCACAAGGTTCCATATCACAAAGGGAAAGCTGGAATTGAGTTTGGGGGTAATTGCCCCAAACGTTTGGGAATTGGGGGCCAAAAAGGGGCCAAAAATAAGCATTTTTCTAGTTTCCAGACAATAACTTGTGTTCAAGTGTATGGATCTCTCTGAAATTGTACTGCAAGGTACCATACCACAAAGGGAAGGCTGGTATTGAGTTTGGGGGTGAACAATCGTAAGGGGGTTCAAAAAATTTGGGAGGGGGGGATTTTTTTTTTTTTTGTTTTTTGTTTTTTTTTCTTTTAAAATTTCCCATTTTAAGTTGGTTTATTATTTCTGATTAATATTTAAAAGCAAATAATAATGATATGGTAGGAGATACACACCAAACAGGATGTGTAAATTATTATATAATAAGTATTGTGCAATAGCAAGAAATTTTCAATTGCACAGTATTGCACAATAGCAAGAAATCTTCAATTGCACAGTATTGCGCAATAGCAAGAAATCTTCAATTGCACAGTATTGCGCAATAGCAAGAAATATCCAATAGCACAATATTGCGCAATAGCAAGAAATTGTCAATTGTACAGTATTGCGCAATAGCAAGAAATATTCAATTGCACGGTATTGTGCAAAAGAAGATACTTCGTATAAATTGCTTATTTCTTGATCAATTTCAATGGGGTTTTATTCTTGAATTCTTGGGGTTCTTTAATATGCTGAATCTAACCGTGTATTAAGTTTTTGGATTTTGGGCCCCATTTTTAAATTGGTCCACATTGAGGTCCAAAGGGTCCAAAATTTAACTTTGTTTGATTTCATAAAAAATTGAATTATTGGGGTTCTTTGATATGCCGAATCTAACCGTGTATTTAGATTCGTAATTTTTGGTTCCGTTTTCAAATTGGTCTACATTAAGGTCCAAAGGGTCCAAAATTAAACTTAGTTTGATTTTAACAAAAATTGAATTTTTAGGGTTCTTTGATATGCTGAATCTAAACATGTATTTAGATTTTTGATTATGGGCCCAGTTTTCAAGTTGGTCCAAATCGGGGTCCAAAATTAAACTTTGTTTGATTTCAACAAAAATTGAATTCTTGGGGTTCTTTAATATGCTGAATCTAACAGTGTATTAAATTTTTGGATTTTGGGCCCCATTTTTAAATTGGTCCACATTGAGGTCAAAAGGGTCCAAAATTTGACTTTGTTTGATATCATAAAAAATTGAATTATTGGGGTTCTTTGATATGCCGAATCTAACCGTGTATTTAGTTTCTTAATTTTTGGTTCCGTTTTCAAATTGGTCTACATTAAGGTCCAAAGGATCCAAAATTAAACTTAGTTTGATTTTAACAAAAATTGAATTTTTAGGGTTCTTTGATATGCTGAATCTAAACATGTATTTAGATTTTTGATTATGGGCCCAGTTTTCAAGTTGGTCCAAATCGGGGTCCAAAATTAAACTTTGTTTGATTTCAACAAAAATTGAATATATGGGGTTCTTTGATATGCTGAATCTAACCATGTATTTAGATTTTTGATTTTTGGGCCCCGTTATCAACTTTGTCCACATTGAGGTCAAAAGGGTCCAAAATTAAACTTTGTTTGATTTCATCAAAAATTGAATTCTTGGGGTTCTTTGATATGCTGAATCTAACCATGTATTTAGATTTTGGATATTGGACCATAATAGGTGAATGTCCAATTTAAAATTTTTAAGTTCTTAGACCACATTCATTCTGTGTCAGAAACCTATGCTGTGTCAAATATTTAATCACAATCCAAATTCAGAGCTGTATCAAGCTTGAATGTTGTGTCCATACTTGCCACAACTGTTCAGGGTTCGACCTCTGCGGTCGTATCAAGCTGCGCCCTGCGGAGCATTTTATAATAATATGCTTTGATTTTATAATGATGTTTAATCATTCTATTTTTTAACAAAGAGTTGTCTCTCTAAAGATTTATGGACCATCTTAATAATAAATTTTATTTTACATTACAAGGTGATGGAAAATGTGTGATATGTGATTCCTTGTTGTTCTCAGGTGATGGCAAGTGTGTTATATGTGACTCCTATGTCAGACCATGTACACTGGTGAGGATTTGTGATGAGTGTAATTATGGTTCATACCAGGGAAGATGTGTCATTTGTGGAGGCCCAGGAGTTTCTGATGCTTATTACTGCAAAGAATGTACCATTATGGAAAAAGATGTGAGTAGTGGAATAAAATACTGTAAACCTTTTTATACTCCCGTTTACGGGACGTATTATGGTATACCGTTGACCGTCCGTCTGTATGTCCGTCCGTCCGTCGTCAACATGTCAGACATTTACTAAAAAACGCTTTAACCAATATGCATGAAACTTGATTGAATTGTTCACATCTATTGATGTGAGCTCCCTTTCATTTTTATACGACCGCAAAAACATTTTTGTGGTCATATATTGGTATGACGTTGGCGTCTTCGTCGTCTGAAGACACATTAGTTTTCGCACTCTAACTTGAGTTTAAGTGAATGGATCTCAATGAAATTTTACCATAAGGTTCAATACCACAAAAGGAAGGTGGGGATTGATTTTTGGGGTTATGGTACCAACAGTTAAGGAATTAGGGGCCAAAAAGGGGCCAAAAATAAGCATTTTTGTAACTTCCAGACATAATTTGTGTGTAAGTGTATGGATCTCTCTGACATTGTACCACAAGGTTCCATATCACAAAGGGAATGATGGGATTGATTTTGGGGGTAATTGCCTTCAAATTTTAGGAATAAGGGGCCAAAAAGGGGCAAAAAACAAGCATTTTTCTAGTTTCATGACAATAACTTGTGTGTAAATGTATGGATCTTTGTGAAATTGTACTACAAGGTTCCATATCACAAAGAGAAAGCTGGAATTGAGTTTGGGGGTAATTGCCCAAAAAGTTTAGGAATAAGGGGCCAAAAAGTGGCAAAAAATAAGCATTTTTCTAGTTTCTAGACAATCACTTGTGTTCAAGTGTATGGATCTCTCTGAAATTGTACTGCAAGGTACCATACCACAAAGGGAAGGCTGGGATTGATTTTGGGGGTAATTCCCTCAAAATTTTTGGAATTAGGGGCCATAAAAGGGCAAAAAAACAAGCATTTTTCTAGTTTCAGGACAATAACTTGTGTGTAAGTGTATGGATCTTTATGAAATTGTACTGCAAGGTTCCATATCACAAAGGGAAAGCTGGGTTTGAGTTTGGGGGTAATTGCCCTAAACGTTTAGGAATTTGGGGCCAAAAAGGGGCCAAAAAACAAGCATTTTTCTAGTTTCCAGACAATAACTTGTGTTCAAGTGTATGGATCTCTCTGAAATTGTACTGCAAGGTACCATACCAAAAAGGGAAGGCTGGGATTGAGTTTGGGGGTGATGAATCATAAGGGGGTTAAAAAAAATTGGGGGGGGATTTTTTTTTCCTTATTTTTCTTTAAAATTTACCATTTTAAATTGGTTATTTCTGATTTATATATAAAAGCAAATAATAATGATGTGGTTTGAATAGGTAAATTAAAAATTTTTAAGTTCTTAGACCACTTTCATTCTGTGTCAGAAACCTATGCTGTGTCAAATATTTAATTACAATCCAAATTCAGTGCTGTATCAAGCTTGAATGTTGTGTCCATACTTGCCCCAACTGTTCAGGGTTCAACCTCTGCGGTCGTATCAAGCTGCGTCCCAGCGGAGCATTTTATTTATAAATTTCAGATCTACCGTTTTCGAGTTTTGGGGTTTTATTCACTAAAAAAGGGGGAATTTTCCAGTTTTCCGACAATAACTCAAGAATGCTTTCACCAACTTGCAAGAAATTTTAGTGAATTGTTAATATCTATTGACATGAGCTCCCTTTTTGATTTTTATGAATTTTAGATATTACGTTTCCAAGCTACAGGGTATTATTCATAAAAAAGGGGGATTTTCAAGTTTTTGGACAATAACTAAAAAATGCTTTCAGCAGTTCTCATGAAACTGGTGAATTGTTTATATCTGTTGATGTAAGCTCCTTTTAGAATTTTATAAGTTTTAGATTTTACATTTCTGAATTATAGGGTTTTATTCATTAAAAAAGGGGGGATTTTCCAGTTTTTCGACTATAACTCCAAAATGCTTTCATCAGTTCTCATGAAACTTTAATGAATTATTTATAGCTATTGATGTAATCTCCCTATTGATTTTCATAAATTTCAAATATAACATTGAGGAGAAATTGAACTTTATTTGTTTATAGTCTTGACAACAGATTTACTTAGTATTGCGCAACAGCACAGTGTATTGCACAACAGCAAGAAATCTTTAATTAAATATAAATTTAATTCATATAACCAATTTCAAGTTCTTTGACTACATTTATTCAGAAACCTTTAATATGTCAAATATTTAATTACAATCCAAATTCAGACCGGTATCAAGCTTGAATATTGTGTCCATTTTTGCCCCAACTGTTCAGGGTTGGACCTCTGCGGGGGTATCCAGCTGCGCTTAGCGGAGCAGTTTATTCAGTTAATGCATTTCTATAGCTACTTGTGCATATTTTTGAAAAGTATAAAAGCAGAGGCTGATTTAAGGTGGTTATTGATCTACATATATGGTTAATGCATGTACTTTTTACATGTCCTGCTCCAAACTTTGCTTAGTTTGGGGGCCCCAGGCCTTTTTCAAAATCCTGGATCTGCATCTGACATGTTTAGTTGTTGAGGTTGTTCAGTAAAAGTTACTTTTACAGATGTTAGGAAAGTCATGTTGAAAGAGGAAAATTACTCTTGATTATTGGTGATGACACTATGATTTTGAAATGTTCACATACCTGTATTCGTTTATAATTGTTGTGACTAAACAAAACATTAAACATCAGAAAAGTCACCAGCATTATATAAATTGTACAAAAATCACCATGTCCATATGCAACATAAAAATGTAGGAAGGGACAAACTTCAGTGGTGAAGTTGCATTGTTCTATTGATGACAGGGTCACATCAGACTTCTTCCTATATATGTGCAGTGAGATTGAGTCTTGTCTCATTGAAATGATGAGATGAGCTTAAGCAACCAGTATGATAGATGTATGGTTTACCCTGTCAAACTCTAGTTTCATCTTAATCAAACAAAGAACCAATGAAGTACAGAAACTGATGATTTATTCCTGCAAATAAATACCATAAATACTTTTCAATTTCAATAAAAGGTGCAACCCTATAGCTGCTGATGCTCTTTAGCTCCACCCGTCTGCCTCAAGGACCTTGCTCAAAATACCATGTTGTTATCTGTTTATGGTACATGTATAATTCACTTGAAAATAACTTTTTTAGGCCAGGGTTTTTTAATTTGTTGGTTAACAGATTTTTGATGTGAAAGATTAGGGTTGGTTGGTTAAATTTTTTTAATAGATACATGTATGTAAAAAAAATACTGTCATGAACATGATGAACACAACAAACACAACAGATATATAGTGTGTTATCATTTCTGTTTATGTTTAAACATGATAAAATAGTCAACACTACTTCGAAGATAATTTTATTAGTCCCCTACCGATGAAGTAGAAGGGGACTTTAGGTTTGCAGTCTGTCCGTCTCTGTCTGTCTGTCTGTCTGTCCATCCGTCAGTCTGGTAAATCAGTTTTCCACACTTTTTTTCTTCCTGCTTGAAGATATTGATTTGATATTTGGTTTATTGTTTTATCATGACAAGTTACAGATCAAGTTCAACTTTTGTTCCAGTCTGATGATTTTGTGCAGAGTTATGGTCCTTGGACTTAGAAAATTCACTCAAATAATCAGTTTTCCACACCTTTTTTCGTCATGCCTGAAGATATTGATTTGTTAATTGGTATATAGTTTTACTATGACAAGTTACAGACCAAGTTCGAATTTTGTTCCGGTCTGATGATTTTGTGCAGAGTTATGGTCCTTGGACTTAGAAAATTCACTCAAATAATCAGTTTTCCACACTTTTTTATGCCCCCGCCGTAGCGGAGGGGGCATTAAGTTTTACCCTTGTCCGTCTGCATGTACGTACGTACATACGTACGTCCCAAAATTGGTTTCCATTCTCTAACTTTAGTTTGCCTCAACCAAATGTTATGAAACTTATACACAATGCTAATTACCACAAAACACAGATCAAGTTTGAATTTTGGTGGTGTCACTTTAGTTGTTCTAGAGTTATGCCCCTTTACAAATGGAAAATTGCTGAATTTATCGTTTCCATACTCTAACTTTAGTTTGCCTCAACCAAATGTTATGAAACTTATACACAATGCTTATTACCACAAAACACAGATCAAGTTCGAATTTCGGTGGCGTCACTTTTACCGTTCTAGAGTTATGCCTCTTTACAAATGGAAAAATTGCTGAATTTTTCATTTCCGTTCTCTAACTTTAGTTTGCCTCAACCAAATGTTATGAAACTTATACACAATGCTTATTACCACAAAACACAGATCAAGTTTGAATTTTGGTGGAGTCAATTTTACTGTTCTAGAGTTATGCCTCTTTACAAATGGAAAAATTGATGAATTTTTCGTTTCTGTTCTGTAATTTTACATGTAGTTTGCCTCAACCAAATGTTATGAAACTTATACACAATGCTCATTACCACAAAACACAGATCAAGTTTGAATTTAGGTGGTGTCACTTTAACCGTTCTAGAGTTATGCCCCTTAAGAAATGGAAAAATTGCAAAATTTTTATTTTCTTCTAAATATCAAGTAATTTTTATACGACCGCAAAAAAATTTTTGTGGTCGTATATTGGTATGACGTTGGCGTTGTCGTCGTCGTCGTCCGGCGTCGTCGTCGTCGTCCGGCATCGTCGTCCGAATACGCATTAGTTTTCGCACTCTAACTTTAGTTTAAGTGAATGGATCTCTATGAAATTTTACCATAAGGTTCAATACAACAAAAGGAAGGTGGGGATTGATTTTGGGGGTTATGGTACCAACAGTTAAGGAATTAGGGGCCAAAAAGGGGCCAAAAATAAGCATTTTCTAGTTTCCAGACAATAACTGTGGAACGGTGTATGGATCTCTCTGAAATTATACTACAAGTTTCCATACCACAAAGGGATGGTTAGGATTTGCTTTGGGGGGTTATGGCTCAAACCGTTTAAGAATTAGGGGCAAAAAAGGGGGAAAAACAAGGTTGTCCTGGTTAATGGACAAATACTTTAGTACAAAACATAATTTAAAGCAGTGTAAGGGAGATAAATCAAATACATCATTGAAATTATCTCCCTTACACTGCTTTTAAATTATGTATAAAGTAATGGTTAATGAACAATTAAGATAATTTAAAACAGTGTAAGGGAGGTAATCCAAATACAACGTTTTGGTTACTTCCCTTACACTGCTTTTAAATTGTGTTTAAAGAAATGCATATTTATAAAAGAAGACCAGTAAAAATATCTGCAAATGTTGCATCTTTTTTTTTTACAAAAAAATCCATATGAAAGATTTGACACTATATTTTAAATTCTATTATAAAATAGATTAAGTTAGCACTATGGTAAATTTAAATGGGTAATTATGGTTTGGGGAAAAAAAGGGGGGGGGTAAAAAGAAATTGTGGGGGGTCAATTTTTTCTCATTTTAGATTTCAGAAATTAAAAAGAATTATTCCTCAAATATTATTTTTTTTTCAAATTTCAAATATTGAAAAATTTCAAGAAGTAATCTTTAATTGCACAGTATGGCGCATTAGATTTGTAAAATCTTTGACCACATTTATTTATTTGTTATGCCGAATCTAACCGTGTATTTAGATTTTTAATTTTGGATCCAGTTTTCAAATTGGTCTACATTAAGGTCCAAAGGGTCCAAAATTAAACTTTGTTTGATTTTAACAAAAAATGAATATATGGGGTTCTTTGATATGCTGAATCTAAACATGTATTTAGATTTTTGATTTTTGGCCCAGTTTTCAAGTTGGTCCAAATTGGGGTCCAAAATTAAACTTTGTTTGATTTCAACAAAAATTGAATATATGGGGTTCTTTGATATGCTGAATCTAACCATGTATTTAGATTTTTTATTTGTTGACCCCGCTATCAAATTGGTTCATATTGAGGTCAAAAGGGTCCAAAATTAAACTTTGTTTGATTTCATCAGAAATTGAATTATTGGGGTTCTTTGATATGCCAAATCTAACCGTGTATTTAGATTTTCAATTTTAAGTCCCGTTTTTTAAATTGGTCTACATTAAGGTCCAAAGGGTCCAAAATTAAACTTAGTTTGATTTTAACAAAAATTGAATTCTTGGGGTTCTTTGATATGCTGAATCTAAACATGTGTTTAGATTTTTGATTATGGGACCAGTTTTCAAGTTTGTCCAAGTTGGGGTCCAAATTGAATATATGGGGTTCTTTGATATGCTGAATCTTACCATGTATTTAGATTTTTTATTTGTGGGCCCGCTATCAAATTGGTTCATATTGAGGTCAAAAGGGTCCAAAATTAAACTTTATTTGATTTCATCAAAAATTGAATTATTGGGGTTCTTTGATATGCCAAATCTAACCGTGTATTTAGATTTTTAATTTTGGGTCCAGTTTTCAAATTGGTCTACATTAAGGTCCAAAGGGTCCAAAATTAAACTTTGTTTGATTTTAACAAAAATTGAATATATGGGGTTCTTTGATATGCTGAATCTAAACATGTATTTAGATTTTTGATTTTTGGCCCAGTTTTCAAGTTGGTCCAAATTGGGGTCCAAAATTAAACTTTGTTTGATTTCAACAAAAATTGAATATATGGGGTTCTTTGATATGCTGAATCTAAACACGTATTTAGATTTTAGATTTTTGGCCCAGTTTTCAAGTTGGTCCAAATTGGGGTCCAAAATTAAACTTTGTTTGATTTCAACAAAAATTGAATATATGGGGTTCTTTGATATGCTGAATCTTACCATGTATTTAGATTTTTTATTTGTGGGCCCGCTATCAAATTGGTTCATATTGAGGTCAAAAGGGTCCAAAATTAAACTTTGTTTGATTTCATCAAAAATTGAATTATTGGGGTTCTTTGATATGCCAAATCTAACCATGTTTTTAGATTTTTAATTTTGGGTCCCGTTTTTTAAATTGGTCTACATTAAGGTCCAAAGGGTCCAAAATTAAACTTAGTTTGATTTTAACAAAAATTGAATTCTTGGGGTACTTTGATATGCTGAATCTAAACATGTGTTTAGATTTTTGATTATGGGACCAGTTTTCAAGTTTGTCCAAGTTGGGGTCAAAAATTAAACTTTGTTTGATTTCAACAAAAATTGAATATATGGGGTTCTTTGATATGCTGAATCTAACCATGTATTTTGATTTTGGACATTGGACCATAATAGGTAAATTAAAAAAATTGAAGTTCTTAGACCACATTCTTTCTGTGTCAGAAACCTATGCTGTGTCAAATATTTAATCACAATCCATATTCAGAGCTGTATCAAGCTTGAATGTTGTGTCCATACTTGCCCCAACTGTTCAGGGTTTCGACCTCTGCGGTCGTATCAAGCTGCGCCCAGCGAAGCATTTTATTAAAATTGGAGTTATCTTCCTTTCTCCATGATTATAGTTGAATAAACTACAATCAATGCTTTATACAATGCAATGTTTAGTTTTGACTTCCACTGATAAAACACAGATCAAGTTGAATTTGGGTAGTGTCACTTTAACCATTATTGAGTTATGCCCCTTTATAAATCGAAAGATTGCAAAATTTTTAGTTTCCATTCTGTAACTTAAGTTTGCCCCAACCAAACATTATGAAACCTATACACAATATTCATTACCGCAAAACTAAGATCAAGTACAAATTTTTTGTTTCCGTTTTCTAAATTTAGTTTGCCTCAACCAAATGTTATGAAACTTACACACAATGCTTATTACTACATAATACAGATTAAGAACAAAATTTGGTGGCAACACTTTTACCATTCTTGAGTTATGTCCCTTTATAAACATAAAAATTGCTTTAGTTTGTCTCAACCAAATGTTATAAAACTTATACACAACCGTTCTAGAATTATGAGTGTTTACAAATAGAAAAATTGCTGAGATTTTAGTTTCTGTTCCCTACTTAAGTTAGCCTTAACCAAATGTTATGAGACTTAATTACACACAATGCTTATTACCACAAAACTCAGATCAAGTTCAAATTTGGGTAGCTCCACTTTTACCGTTCTTCAGTTATGTCCCTTTATAACTATATGATATGCAAATGGGGGCATCATCTGTGTCCACATGTGGACACTATCCACATTTTTTTGTCATGCTTGAAGATATTGACTTGATATTTGTTATATATTTTACACCATGACAAGTTAAAGATCAAGTTAGCATTTTGTTCCAGTACAATGAATTTTTAACTGGTAGGGGACTATGTATTGCCATGTAATACTCTCAGAATGCTTGTTTATATTTAAGGGATAATGAATTTGGTAGAGTAGGTCATGTAGGTGGGAATAATAAAATCAAGAAATTTCAATTTTATTTTTTTTGCTGAAAATCACAAAAGTTGGGTTGGCTATTCTGTAAACCAATAAATTAAAAAAAAAACTCAACTTTTTCATTTAAAACATTAAATAGTTTTGTAAATTATAAGATCCATTATAGGTCAAAAAATTTGTATACATTATATTATTGACTTAAGGTTAATTTTAAATTAGATGATCAGCTAATAAAAGAGATATAAGGGTATCTTGCAATACAGTGTACATGTTCCCGTGCTTCTTAAATGTGTTTTTGTCTGAGTGTGTACCGTAGTATCAACCTTATCTGATTATTTTACTTTTTTTTGTAACCAATTGATAAAATTAGCTATTTTATTTTTCAGAGAGATGGATGTCCAAAGATTGTCAATCTAGGAAGTGCCAAGACAGACTTGTTTTATGAAAGAAAGAAATATGGATTCAAAAAACGATAGAAAAAAACTACTTCATCATTCTGTACATAATCATGATTTTATAAGTAAAATGATAAAAACTGAAAAACATTTTTTTCTAATTTTTAAGTGAAATAATAATCTATTGATATGATTTCCATACATATGCACAAACACATGTTTCTGGAAAAACCTTCATTAAGCACACTCATGACAAAAGTTTCAAAGGCAAAAAAAGAAAATTATAAGGGCCTTGATAGAACAACATCAACTTTGCTTTTGGGCAAATTTAGTTAAGTACAATTGCAAAATTTTGTGAACTGGAAAAAATTACGAGCAAAATGTTATACATTCACAATCTTGCACTCACCCTCTCATTGGACCTTTGATAATATCAATCTTGCACTCATCTTGGCATTAGACCTTTGATATTCACAGTTTTGCACTCACACTGGGCTTTGAACTTTAATTAGTCCCCTACCGACGAAGTCGAAGGGGACTTTAGGTTTGCACTCTGTATTTCTGTCCATCTGTCAGTCCCGCAAATCAGTTTTCCACACTTTTTATACGACCACAACAAATTTTTGCGGTGGTATATTGGTATGACATCATCATCATCCGAAGACACATTGGTTTTCGCACAATAATTTAGTTTAAGTGAATGGATATCTATGAAATTTTACCATAAGGTTCAATACCACAAAAGGAAGGTTGGGATTGATTTTGGGGGTTATGGTACCAACAGTTAAGGAATTAGGGGCAAAAAAGGGGAAAAACAAGGGTGTCCTGGTTAATGGACAAATAATTTAGTACAAACATAATTTAAAGCAGTGTTAGGGAGGTAATTCAAATACATCATTTGAATTACCTCCCTTACACTGCTTTTAAATTATGTATAAAGTAATGGTTAATGAACAATTAAGACAATTTAAAAGCAGTGTAAGGGAGGTAATCCAAATACGTTTTGATTACCTCCCTAACACTGCTCTAAAATTATGTTTAAAGAAATGCATATTTATAAAGGAAGACCAGTAAAAATATCTGCAAATGTTGCATCTTTTTTTCTTTACAAAAAAATCCATATGAAAGATTTGACACCATATTTTAAATTCTATTATAAAATAGATGAAGTTAGCACTATGGTAAATTTAAATGGATGATTATGGTTGCAAACTCCATTGGAAATTTGAATTGAGATTATGACCATATCTTGAGTGAAAGATTTTTTTTTTTTTGGGGGGGGGGGGGGGGGGAGGGGGAGGGTAAAAAGAAATTGTTGGGGGTCAATTTTTTCTCATTTGAGATTTCAGAAATTAAAAGCAAAATTCTTCAAATATATTTTTTTTGCAAAAAAAGTGTGTGTGTGTGGGGGGGGGGGGGGGGTGTTAATACACAACAGCATAGTGAATTGCACAAAAGCAAAAAATAAAGGGGGGGTTAATTTTTAATTTTTTTTTTTGTGGGGGAGGGGGGGGGGGGGGGTCAATTCGCAACAGCAAAGTGTATTGCACAAAAGCAAAAAACTTGAATATAAATTCAAATCGTATAACTATTTCTAAGTTCTTTGACTACAGTTATTCTGTGTCAGAAACCTTTTATGTGTCGAATATTTAATTACAATCCAAATTCAGACCTGTATCAAGCGCGAATATTGTGTCCATTTTTGCCCCAACTGTTCAGGGTTGGAAATCTGTGGTCGTATCCAGCTACGCTCGACGAAGCAATTTTTTTTCGTCCTGCTTGAAGATATTGATTTGATAGTTGATATATAGTATTATCATGACAAGTTACAGATCAAGTTCGAATTTTGTTCCGGTCTGATAATTTTGTGCGGAGTTATGGTCCTTGGACTTAGAAAATTCACTCAAATAATCAGTTTTCCTCACTTTTTTTATACGCCCATTTACGGGACGTATTATGGTATACCGTTGTTCGTCTGTCCGTCCTTCAGTCTGTCTGTCCGTCCGTCTGTCCGTCGTCAACATGTCGGACATTAACTCAAAAATGCTTTAACCAATTTGCATAAAACTTTGGTGAATTGTTTATAACTAATGACGTGAGCTCCCTTTCATTTTTAGCTCACCTGGCCAGCGGGGGACTTAGTTTAACATAGGACCCTATGGGAAATACATACAAATGTCTTCTTTTAGAGAACCACTGAATGGAATGAAACCAAACATGGCATGAATGTTCCTTATGAGGTTCTGACCAAGTGTTGTTACTTTGTAGCCGATCCATCATCCAAGATGGCCGCCAGCGGGGGACTTAGTTTAACATAGGACCCTATGGGAAATACATACAAATGTCTTCTTTTAGAGAACCACTGAATGGAATGAAACCAAACATAGCATGAATGTTCCTTATGAGGTGCTGACCAAGTGTTGTTACTTTGCAGTCGGTCCATCATCCAAGATGGCCGACAGCAGGGGACTTAGTTTAACAAAGGACCTATGGGAAATACATACAAATGTCTTCTTTTAGAGAACCACTGAATGGAATGAAACCAAACATGGCATGAATCTTCCTTATGAGATGCTGACCAAGTGTTGTTACTTTGTAGCCGATCCATCATCCAAGATGGCCGCCAACGGGGGGCTTAGTTTAACATAGGACCCTATGGGAAATACATACAAATGTCTTCTTTTAGAGTACCACTGAATGGAATGAAACCAAACATGGCATGAATGTTCCTTATGAAGTGCTGACCAAGTGTTGCTACTTTGTTGCCGATTTACTGTTCAAGATGGCCACCAGGATATTTTATTAAATAACGGGACCAATATTAATCAAAATTTGGCCTCAATCATTATTTGGGTATCTGTTATGATTTTTATCTATCTTTACATGATTTCTAAAACCAAAGTAGAGTCAGGTGAGCGACACAGGCTCTCGAGAGCCTCTAGTTTATAAAACTAAGATTTTACATTTCCAAGTTATGGGGTTTTATTCATTAATAAAAGGAGGATTTTCCAGTTTTCGGACAATAAGTCAAGAATGCTTCCACCAACTTGCAAGAAATTGTGGTGAATTGTTTATATCTATTGACATGAGCTCCCTTTAGATTTTTATAAATTTTAGATTTTACGTTTCCGAGTTACAGGGTTTTATTCATTAAAAAAGGGTGGATTTTCCAGTTTTCTGACAAAAACTCAAAAATGCTTTCAGCAATTCTTATGAAACTTTGGTGAATTGTTTGTATGTATTTATGTAAGCTCCCTTTAGAATTTTATAAATTTTACATTTTACATTTCTGAGTTATGGGGTTTTATTCATTAAAAAAAGGGTGATTTTCCAGTTTTCGGACAATAACTCAAAAATGCTTTCACCAATTCTCATGAAACTTTGGTGAATTGTTTATATCTATTGATGTAAGCTCCCTTTTTATTTTCATAAATTTCTAATATGACATTGGGAATTAATTGAACTTTATTTGTTTATAGTCTGACAACAGATTTTCTTAAGTATTGTACAACAGCAAGAAATCTTTAATTGAATATAAATTCAATTCACATAACCAATTTCAAGTTCTTTGACTACATTTATTCAGAAATCTATAATATGTCAAATATTTAATTATAATCCAAAGTCAGACCTGAATCAAGCTTGAATATTGTGTCCATTTTTGCCCCAACTGTTCAGGGTTGGACCTCTGCGGGCGTATTTAGCTGCGCTCAGCGAAGCAGTTTATTTGTCATGCCTTAAGATATTGATTTGATAACTTATATATAGTTTTATCATGACAAGTTACAGATCAAGTTCGAATTTTGTTCCAGTCTGATGATTATGTGCAGAGTTATGGTCCTTGAACTTAGAAAATTTACTTAAATAATCAGTTTTCAACACTTTTTTCGTCATGCTTTAAGATATTGACTTGATATTTTTATATAGTTACACCATAACAAGTTATAGATCAGTCAGCATTTTGTTCCTATACAATGAATTTTTAGGGGACTATGTATTGCCATGCAATACTATCAGAATGCTTGTTTTAATAGTCTTGCATTCACACTCTCATTAGAACTGTGATATTCACAGTTTTGCACACACACTCTCATTAGAACTGTGATATTAACAGTCTTACACTCACACTGGGCTTTGACCTTTAATTTTAAGTCTTGCACTCACACTCTCATTAGACTTTTGATATTAACAGTCTTGCACTCACACTCTCATTAGACCGTTGATATTAACATTCTTGCACTCACACTCTCATTAGACCGTTGATATTGACAGTCTTGCACTCACACTCTTATTAGACCTTTGATATTGACAGTCTTGCACTCACACTCTTATTAGACCTTTGATATTAACAGTCTTGCACTCCCACTCTTATTAGACCTTTGATATTAACAGTCTTGCACTCACACCTCATTAGACTTTTGATATTAACAGTCTTACACTAACACTCTCATTAGACCTTTGATATTAACAGTCTTGCACTCGCACTCTTATTAGACCTTTGATATTAACAGTCTTGCACTCACACTCTTATTAGATCTTTGATATTAACAGTCTTGCACTAACACTCCCATTAGACCGTTGATATTAACAGTCTTGCACTCACACTCTCATTAGACCTTTGATATTAACAGTCTTGCACTCACACTCTTATTAGACCTTTGATATTAACAGTCTTGCACTCACACCTCATTAGACCGTTGATATTAACAGTCTTTCACTCACACTCTCATTAGACCGTTGATATTAACAGTCTTGCACGCACACTCTTATTATACCGTTGATATTAACAGTCTTGCACTCACACTCTTATTAGACCTTTGATATTAACAGTCTTGCACTCACACTATTAATAGACCTTTGGTATTAACAGTCTTGCACTCACACTCTTATAAGACCTTTGATATTAACAGTCTTGCACTCACACTCTTATTAGACCTTTGGTATTAACAGTCTTTGCATTCACACCTCATTATACTTTTGATATTAACAGTCTTGCACACACACTGGGCTTTGACCTTTAATTTTAACAGTCTTTGATCGTTGAATATTTATTTTTAGAACATAATTATTAGTCGTATTCATACTTATATTTCACTTGTCACATAACAAAATCACAGATAGATGTAAGGGTGCTACCATTTGATTTTT